GAGGACAGGGACACCAGGCCCCGCTTCCCAGCTTGGCTCCTAGGTGCCGCGGTGGGGGTCAGGCCGTTGCTGCCAGCACACCCCTCCCTGCTGGGGGGTGGGAGGAAGAGCCTTGTTTCCCCCTCGGGACCAGAGGGCCCGAGCAGAGCCACCCGGTGAGTGGGACAGGGCTTGGCAGACACCCCCCACCCCCACATTTAACACTCTTTCTCCCCACCTCCGCCTCCTCACCGGTCCCCACCCAAATGCAAAGAATGGAGGGGAACCCAGAGCCTGCCCCGGGGCATGCAGAGACGCTGCGTGTCTGCATTGCAGATCGCAACCGTCGTGGCAAACAGATGAGCCCTCCACCTCCCCGCAAGTGAATACAGGCTGGGGGCAGGGGGGACGGCGCTGCAGAGCCATGTCTGTGTTGCAGGGAAGGGGGCTCAGAGAAAGAGGAGCTGCTTCTCCAGCGGCTAGCCCAAGGCTGAGACAGGCAGGCCTGTTTTGCAGGGGCACAGAAAAATGGCACTTCACCTTTTTCAAGCTTCTCTCCTTAGCCATCTGACACTTTTTTTTTTGCCTTTGAAAGAAGTAGTAGCTCAAAAAAAATATTCATGTTTGCTATGCACCAGGGAGACATGGGAATCAACCAGTCAGATCCCAAAGGAAACAAGAGCAGTGCAGCTATAAAAGAGCCTTATAGACCTTAAGGATTTAAAGCCAGGGTCTACAGTCTGCTTGAGGAAGATAAACTGTTAAACACCCCCCCCCCCCAACTACTATTGCTTCCTTTAAGGAAATTAAAAGCTTACTGGGATGATCTCAGAGCCCGGGAGTTACAAAACCTGGAAAACCACCTGGAAGAAGTACAAATGAGGGCATATGACACATCAAACTAATTCCCTACCTCCCCCAGTGCAAGGAAACAGGACACAGGCACCTACCTGTGTACAAAGGCAGGGGAGTAGCTACTAACCTGTTGCACTGCTAAAAATCTCTTGGAGAGGACAGAGAGGGGCCTCCCTTGGCTTCCATATATCTCCTCCTCCCCTCTTGAGTCATCATGAGAAACGAGCCCCAGCTGGTGCCCTGAGCCCACTGCCGCAAGGTAACGCTGCGGCGCTGCTCGCCTGGAGGGGTCCTTGTCGGGCCCACCTTTGATCACCTCCTAATTAACGGTGATTTCGTTTCTCAGTTAGAATCCGGACAGGATCCAGGCGGAGAGACGATTAGGAACGCGGAGGAAAGTGCTTATAATCGGGCGAGAGGGATGAAATACAGAGCTAGAGCCAGAGCCCGCTTCTCGCCCCGAAGCAAGCAGTGCCAGCCGGGGGGCTGCCCGCCGCCCCGGGGCGCTCCCCCTTGCCCTCGCAGCCCCGAGCTGTGGGTTTCGGGCAGGTCTCTCGCTCGTTGCCGTCAGCCCCGCTGATGCACGCACAGAAAGGGATTCCCCCTCGGACGCGAAGCCATCGTGCTGCCCGTTGTGGGGGCGAGGGCC